ATAGTATCTTTCTAACTCGAATTAGTAATTGTTGGTCATTATAGTATCTCCCTAACTCAAATTAGTAATTATTGATCATTATAGTATCTCTCTAACTCGAATTAGTTATTATCGATCATTATAGTATCTTCCTAACTCGAATAAGTAATTGTTGATCATTAAAGTATCTTCCTAATTCGAATTTGTTTTTATTGATCATTTAAGTATCTTCCTAACTCGAATTAGTTACTATTGATCATTATAGTATCTCTCTAACTCGAATTAGTAATTATTGATCATTATAGTATCTCTCTAACTGGAATTAGTCATTGTTGGTTATTATGTTTCTACCTCGTTCAAGTGTTTGACTTTATCTATTCTAAATAACGGTTTACTGTAGTACACCTAATAACCAATCATAACGAGTGGGTTTTACCATAACGGTCATATGTATGCCAATGAAATCTTTTTTCCATCACTTATTATAGCAATTTTATACTGTGAAGTAAATTGCCGTGAAACCTGACGTCCCCTTGCAATGCTATGTCACCGGAAAGTACTGTTACATACGTGACGTCATAATCATCTGTATATGAGCGAATGAAAAAGCTTTTTAGAAGTTACCAACATTGAACAGCACCTTAAATGTGCTTCACACAGTGGTTGAATCAAATTAAACTTTATTCATTTTACAGCAATCGTGAAACAAGTTCTATCAACTTATATTAGTAACTCTTGTTGACCTGGAAGCTAGCGTGCAGGGGACTTAAACCCGCGTGGTCGGATAGGTGACCCAATACCTTTCCCCGTCCGCCTTGGTGAAAGGTGAGTGCACTAATCACAGCACCATCCGAGCGCATAGTGGTTATGAAGGAAAAAGCAATAACCAGTGGGTGGTCATTCAGTAGAACCCCACATTGACACACGATGCTTGACTAAGGGTTACACCACCATTCCTATAGAGAACACCCTGATTACACTGTTTGTGGATTTGGTGTGTCACTGGAGTAAGATGATTCGTTTAGACATAGTTGCCCTCTTTGTTTAATGCGACCGTTATATTTCAGATACTATTAGCATTGATGATATCATGAACGCAATGCAACGTAATTCAATCTGTAAATGTCATTATTCATTTAAGTTAAAAATGAAGAGCAAACTCCAGCATAACTGGATTACAATTTGGTACAAATACAAAGTCGTATTACACACTGATTATTTCGTCGTTTCAAAGTTGTACGTGTTCTAAATAAATAAACATACTAGTATGATAAAATATATCGGAAGTAAAACAAAAAATAACAATACTTCGACACATAGGGACAAAATCTGAACTACTCAAAATCAAAGTCATTTACGATAAGTCAGCAACAGTTACAGTATAATGTATTTAGGAGATATCAAATCAGATGGAAATACAACAACATGGACAGCGAAACACGAGGGAAGACATCAACAGTAATCAAGGATAAACCCAGCAACAGGAAATACACAAACAAACAGACGGAAAAACAACAGTAGGAACAGAAATAAGAAAAACGTGATTAAGGAGACTCAAACAGAAGGAATGACGACAACATGAATCAAGGAGACACCAAAACAGAAGGGGAGACAACAACAGTAAAACGAGGTGATACCAAAACAGGAGGAAAGGCAACAATAGTAAAACGAGGTGATACCAAAAAAAGGAGGAAAGACAACAACAGTAAAACGAGGTGATACCAAAACAGAAGGAAAAACAACAATAGTAAAACGAGGTGATACAAAAACAGAAGGAAAGACAACAATAGTAAAACGAGGTGATACTAAAACAGACGGAAAGACAACAACAGTAAAACGAGGTGATACTAAAACAAAAGGAAAGACAACAATTGTAAAACGAGATGATACCAAAACAGAAGGAAAGACAACAATAGTAAAACGAGGTAGTACCAAATCAGAAGGAAAAACAACAATATTAAAACGAGGTGATACTAAAACAGAAGGAAAGACAACAATAGTAAAACAAGGTGATACTAAAACAGAAGGAAAGACAACAATAGTAAAACGGGGTGATACTAAAACAGAAGGAAAGACAACAATTGTAAAACGAGATGATACCAAAACAGAAGGAAAGACAACACTAGTAAAACGAGGTGATACCAAAACAGAAGGAAAGACAACAATAGTAAAACGAGGTGATACTAAAACAGAAAAAAAGATAACAATAGTAAAACGAGATGATACCAAAACAGACGGAAAGACAACAACAGTAAAACGAGGTGATACCAAAACAGAAGGAAAGACAACAATAGTAAAACGAGATGAAACCAAATAGACGGAAAAAACAACAATAGTAAAACGAGGTGATACCACAACAGAAGGAATGACAACAGTAGTAAAACGAGGTGATACCAAAAGAGAAGGAAAGACAACAATAGTAAAACGAAGTGATACAAAAACAGAAGGAGGGACAACAATAGTAAAACGAGGTGATACCAAAGCAGAAGGAATGACAACAATAATAAAACGAGGTGATACCAAAACAGAAGGAATGACAACAATAGTAAAACGAGGTAATACCAAAACATACGAAAGACAACAATAGTAAAACGAAGTGATACCAAAACAGACGGAAAGACAACAATAGTAAAACGAGGTGATACCAAAACAGACGGAAAGACAACGATAGTAAAACGAGGTGATACCAAAGCAGAAGGAATGACAACAATAATAAAACGAGGTGATACCAAAACATACGGAAAGACAACAACAGTAAAACGTGGTGATACCAAAACAGACGGAAAGACAACAATAGTAAAACGAGGTAATACCAAAACAGACGGAAAGACAACAATAGTAAAACGAGGTGATACCAAAACAGAAGGAATGACAACAATAGTAAAACGAGGTGATACCAAAACAGAAGGAATGACAACAATAGAAAAACGAGGTGATACCAAAACATACGGAAAGACAACAACAGTAAAACGAGGTGATACCAAAACAGACGGAAAGACAACGATAGTAAAACGAGGTGATACCAAAACAGAAGGAATGACAACAATAGTAAAACGAGGTGATACCAAAACAGAAGGAATGACAACAATAGTAAAATGAGGTGATACCAAAACAGAAGGAAAGACAACAATAGTAAAACGAGGTGATACCAAAACAGACGGAAAGACAACAGCATTATCGAGGAAACAACACATCAGACGGAAATTCAAGAGCAGGAGGACGGTCAAGAATAGTAGAACGGGGAGATACCAAAAACAGACGGAAAGACAACAGCAAAAGTAATCGAGGTGATACCAAAACAGACGGAAGGACTGCAAAAGTAATTTAGGAAACAACAAACCAAACGGAAAGACTTCTTGAACCTACACAAAAACCAGAAGTAAAATAACTGTCATGCTGTTCGTATCAAACCAGGAAGGTATCCGCGTGTTAAAGATAAAAACCGTGCTAGACATGTCTTTGGGCTGACGCGTTCTTCATTAACACGAAGTAATACTAATAACGTGTATGTAGATGGTAAACGTATGAGGAATTGCAATATAACGGTACAACATGTATTTTGTTATTCACACGAGCGTATTGATAAACGTAGATAATGGTCCACGCACCTGTGGAGTAGATAAATATAAGTTACCCAGTATCAGTTAAAACACAGGAACTACATAATGCTATTTTATCTATCAGTTTGGATCTATGGATATTTTATTAATTAAATGATCTGTTATATCTTAACATTTAATATAAAGTAAACGGTGAACACCTCATAACTAGTGCTAAATACAGAAACTTCTGGCATACACACACGCACGGGTCAGCGTTAACCGGACTTCAGTATTAGTGAGAGCTATAAGTACCTGACTAACTCATTCCTACGGACGATAACAGCACCTGCAGTACGCTAATAATAACTCCAATATATGTTAATACTTACCTAAATTTGTACGAAAAGCGGTTGCATGTGCCTATTTTCATAACTTTCGTTACCTTTACACGTCATTAAGTCGTCGTTTGCGGTTTTCGATTATCAATCTTTTAAGTGATAGAATGTGTCGATCAATGTATTTATGCCAATACGTATTTTCATTCCCCTTTATTACTTTGAACATCTTGGCAATGAACAACAATACAGACTGATTGAGAATGTTTTGTTGATACCGTATATAAAATAGGTCAGTATGCAATTTTTACTTACCATTAGTGAGGTCTTCTTCAACGCCACTTCCTCTACGTTATCCTAGGTTTCAGAACCAAAAAGGCTTTTGAAACGCGTGAAGAAAATCGCCCACTTGAAGTAGAAGGTGGAGTAGTCCTGCGGAGACTCCCACTCTTGCGCTAGGGTAGTGTCTTTATAGTTGTTAGACGAAGATCCCACCGGGTACCTTACAGATGATACGAATTATAATTGCATCCCTTTATGTGTAAAACCATTGTCCAAATATGAGTTTTCTGTAAATTCACTTATTCCGTCTTTTTACATGATTTTTCTAACAATTAATAAAAAAAACTCAGGTCATTGATTATCACGAATATGTTATGCTAACGGATAAATTACATACCTTATTTGTGTTTTATGCTGGTAGCGATAAATATGTTGAAGCACTAAATCCAAAACAAAGTACTCCTTAAACTATGAAAAGTTCCCGACAATTATCAAGATTACTGTGCATATTACGTACAGTTTAATCCAACGATGTCAAAACAACAATGTCCTTCAAGGATCACGATCAATTATGGCGATGTTTCCCTGGAACTATAACCAAGGCCGGACACACGTTCCGCTGATTCCATCACAGCTCGCGTGCTTCCAGTAACACTGCTCCAGCACACGCTCGTGATTTAGAGGTCGTCAGTGAGGGAAAGTGATCCTCCTTATTGGCGGGAAATAGTGGGGACGCTTACCGGAACTCTATCAAACAATGGAGTCAGAGTCGCTCACCGTCAGATCACCTCTGGTCGTAGTATTATTGATGTATTACTACTGTGATTGGACGTTATATCGATGTGAGGTTCTTATTTGTATAAGATATAATTACACGTAGACGGGAATAACACTCCAAAACAGGTGAAGTGATTAACTGATTACGGGCAAGAGTTCTGGATCGGACAGGTGCTCGACAACAAAATATTGGCTGACAAGTCTGTGTACTTCATCTAACAGTATTCAAAGCCTATGGCTATGTTATGGACTTAAGACTGTGTTGAAAGCTTCTTTGGAACAGAAGAAATATTATCTAATGATATAGCATAGGCAAAATGTGAAGATCACATTATTGGGACAATATAGGTGTTAACTTACCGTACATGACAATGTCCATTGTGATGCCGATTTACAATTGTGTACAAAACTCAGTCGCTGGCCAAATATTTTAGCAAGATCATTTAGACATTTTTAGAGGTTGGCATGGACAGTGAAGCCCGAATTAATAATGGTGTTCTCGTCTTCAGTTTTATTAATATATCAATATAATAATTGATTGAAGATGTTTTTTGTTCCCACTTCACAACAGTCAAAGGGAATGCTCTACAGTTGTCTAATCAGACTAGTTCATAATTACACCATCTTCATCCATCAGCATTTTTTTTTTAGAGGGACATGAAATTAAAAGTGTAGTTTTCCTTCCTTGTAATGTACAAATGTGTGTTTTTGTATGAGTTTTACAATACACTAGGATACGATTTGTATGCCAAGTCGATTATTGTTTCTAAGCTCTAAATAAAATACATGACTTCTGGCAGTTTACTTATCTTTGGCTTATCCAAAGTATGCCGCTGTTGTTTTAGTGATAAAATCAAGATGGATGTAAAATGCTACAAAATCTGATTACCTAAAAGTGCACTCGGATGTTTTTTCATAAGCTTTTTACTCTCCTTTAAAATAAAGTTGAATGGCTCTAAGTGAATTTACAAATGATAATTAGTTTCAAAAAGAAGAAACCCTCAACAAAATATTTAAGAAAGACATCGACTGCTTCTCCAACAGTTATATTTTAGATTAAGAAAGTATCTATTTTGCTCATTTTTTTTAAAGAAGAAGTGGTGTTACATGACGTGTTTAGATTTTCTCTGTCATTTGTAATAGTTAAACGATTAGGTCCCGTATTCATGAATCCGTTCTCATGCTCAAGCATAGATTTTGTACTCAATCCTAATGTTTTGTTCCTGTTAGTAATATCTTATTTTGTCAACAATGGGAAAACAATGAGAATAATAACAGCCAAAAGCTGTTTTCAATGTTAACATTTGGCATTTTGATCGTTTAGCATGAAAGCTAGTCTGACCACAGAAACTTTGCTTCTGCATGATAACTCTTTAATACGGGCCCAGAATGTTTGACGTTATATAACATCTTCCTTCAGACCACATTTATTTTTAGAAACCCTAGTTAGGATCAGCCCTAAGTAGGGATAGGGATATTCCAGGTATGTACGCAAACAGAGTGTGCACATTAATCCCCCCTTGTCTGAAGATATTTGAAGAATAATATTTGTTCTTAGTGAAAAGGTAGAACCTATTCAGTTTTAAATGCCATATTTTTTCCGATACCCAATAATGGTTTTTTTTCGGCTTAAAATATAACAGTCAGAGGAGGCGAAAATCAACAGTGTAAGGAATCTGATGTCGTTTTTTTTTTAAATCTAAAAACCAATATATTTTTTCTAAAATGTCATGATGTAGCTATTTTCGAACAAGTATTACAAGCAAAGCAGTTTTTTGTATCAGTTTGATACATGTCGTTTACATAAAAAAAAACTAATATTTAGCCATGTGTTACTTCAAAAATATTGAACCTGAACATATAATTAGCAAGTTACCTGTACAAATCGTCTAGGTAAGAAACGGTCACTTTCTCTAACCCCAATAGATTGATGGAAGCGGTGATCACCATGTTTCATTGGTTATCAACAAAAGATGTACTTCTTGCATTAAAAGAGGATCATCATGGTAATGTTCCTTATGTGGTACCGCGGTCCCTTCCTGTCAAAGACACCTTTTTATTTAGGGTACTCATATATCTTTGGTGTTCCTTATGTGTTACTGATGTGCCTTCCTGAAACAGACACCTTTTTTTGATTTAGGGTACTCAAATATCTTGAGTTTTCCTTATGTGGTACCGCGGTCCCTTCCTGTCAAAGACACCTTTTTATTTAGGGTACTCATATATCTTTGGTGTTCCTTATGTGTTACTGATGTGCCTTCCTGAAACAGACACCTTTTTTTGATTTAGGGTACTCAAATATCTTGAATTTTCCTTATGTGGTACCGCGGTCCCGTCCTGTCAAAGACACCTTTTTTTATTTAGGGTACTCATATATCTTTGGTGTGCCTTATGTGGTACCGCGGTCCCTTCCTGTCAAATACACCTTTTTTTGACTTAGGGTACTCATATATCTTTGGTGTTCCTTATGTGTTACTGATGTGCCTTCCTGAAACAGACACCTTTTTTTTATTTAGGGTACTCAAATAACTTGAGTTTTCCTTATGTGGTACCGAGGTCCCGTCCTGTCAAAGACACCGTTTTTAATTTAGGGTACTCATACATCTTTAGTGCGCCTTATGTGGTACCGAGGTGAGTTCCTGTCAAAGACACCGTTTTTGTGCTAATGAACTCAAATATCGTTATGGTGTCTTACGTGTAACATGACACCTTGCTGCCAAAACCACGTTTTATGTTAAGCGTATTTAACACCTTATGTTCCGTATGTGGTACCGAGACGCCTCCTATCATAGCCACGTTTTTGTTTGAGTGTTCTTAAGCTTTGATTTCATGTTACATTCCTTACGTTTTGAGCTCTATTTGTAATCCCGTTTGTCGTTATTATTGTCTAGTTTACGATATACATTTTAACGTGCGTTGTACAATTGTTTTGTATTCCGAGTTTGATTTGAACCAATCAGCACAATTTTGAATACGATTGACGTCAGCGAAGCAAAGTAGAACTATTTAGGACCAAAGTTGTCATCGTTAAAACTCTGTTTGAAGTCCATTATTACTGTTACCAGTACCTAATTGAAATTAAAAATAAGATAAATCAAAAGCCTGATGTACACGTACTATCTGTTTGATATTGAATACAATTTGTTAGGAAATAGAAAATTATAATAGTTAAGAGTGAACAATTAAAGGTAGTATCAAATTTGTGTTGTGCATACACGACGTATGGCACACATATTAAGTGTTTCCTCGTTGCTCTATCATTAACCTTTTGTCAGTGTAATTTGAATCTCGAGTAAAGCTCCGGTAACCATCAGACTGGCAAACAAATAAATAACCGTTACAATGTTCAGCCAGATTGCATTTATATGCATATACATACATATGCAAATATATATCGTTTAACGATGAATGGAGGATAAAGCCCGCGGTTATTGGTACTTTGTGAGGCAATGGTCTGCACAGCGATTTCGCCATTGGATGTAGTCCCACGGGACACATAACCCCTGGTGTACTACATTAGAAGGTGACGGATAATATGTACGGGCAATCGTTAGACTCGGACTACGACCCCGATATAACATTACGACCACAAAGACATTACAGTTATTGAATATGTTGTACTCTATTTAGTAAACAAGTAGGAATATAAGTTATAAGTGGCGATGGAAACCTTGGTGTACCCCTCAGCATCAGGACATAGAGGGTCAGCAGATTAATGAAAAATCCTGATCCATTTCCGCTGTGCCATAAGGGTACCTGATAGCTATATTTGATAGATTAAGTACAACCCTTACTGGAGGTCTCCTCGCTTTAAGTGAAGGCAGTTATCTGTCTATTGATTGCCTTTACATAGATTTACTGTTGTCGCTCCAATATCGTATACATTGGCAACAATAATTTCCGATCTTCTCTTAACAATTAATTACCCTTCATCAAGGAGCGACGCAGCAACTTAGAGCCCCTGGTTGTCACTGCTCTTGTTTTCAGTATCAAAGCAAACGGATGTATGTCAGCAATGCTCTCACCATGAAGTCCCTTTGATTGCTCGGTAAATTGAAGTCGTCGTGTACAGACACACCCGGTACTGATAATTACAGGTAGAGTCTTTGTTCCGCACAGTAGGACAGGTCCGAGATGTAAGGAGTAATTGATTACAAGTCCTTCATTCTACCACTCCACTTATATTCAAATTTAAAAAAATGGAGGTGCAATTATCACAGCGTCCAAGAGCGTACGTACATTCTTGATAGATCACATTCTTATTTCGCTGCAACAAATAAAAAATATTACATTCAAATAAGATTTCTTTTATCATTCGTTTCAACTGAACACTTTGCTTGGTGTTAAATAAAATTCATTTATAAAAACAGTGATGCGAAGGACATCTTTAATGGCATCATAAATAATCTAAAATTTGCCTAGCGTTGTGATGCGAAGCTTTCGCTGCAATCATTCTAAATGGCTGAAAATCGAAAGTTTGCAAACGGACAATGCTCGTTACGAATAAGAAATTAAAAAAAGGTATCGATCGCAAGACTTATCATCACATGTTTAATGATGTGTCTTTCGGGAAAAAGTATAACAAATCCAGACGTAAGCTTCACAAGGCGGAAACTGTTACAATGTATAATACACTATCCTCTGAGTCATGTCCATCAATGAAGCAGCGGACATAATCGTTAAAGAACAGTGTTAAAGGTTTTTCATTATTGTTGTATGTATTATTGATTATATCCTGCTTTCAAACCTAGTTATAACACAAAGCTACGAAACGGTTTATCGAGAATACAGTCTCATTTTGTACACAACCTTAAAAGTTGCACAACAGCAAGAACTAAGGTGACATTTAAATAAAGTGGAAAACATCACGAAAATCCATAAACATCATTAACCGGGTGAATTGACCGTTCCGT